CCGTCAGTCAGTCAGAGCGAGTTAGTCGAGTCAGAGGCAGTGCGAAACAGAGTCGCGTTCAGACAATCATTACTAAACCTTATTATATATTCCTCTTTGTAATATATCTGTGTAATTCCATATACGTGTCCGAGTTCTTCTTTATTGGTTCTACCTTGGACTATCACCGTGGCGGAACCGGACCATAACAGTGGCAACGAGCGATTCAAAATCATTCGGTGGAAAGAAAAAAAAAATGTTCGTTTGCCACAGCATAACAGTTATTTGATGCCAAAATCTAAATATTTTGAACACAATTTTATGGTTCTAACAAAATATATTTTGAGCGCAACTTTATGCCTTCAAATACGGATAAAATGTATTTTTGGGATATTTTGCTATAAATTGTATTGTTGGTCATTCTTACTATAAATTGTATTGTTGGTATTTTTTTTTTACATATAACAAAGTTTTGCTGCTATTTTTACTATAAAAACGTATTTTTATGCTTTCAGAGTATTTTGTTTTTGTTTGGGGGTTCCCTATTTGCCCATAGCTGGAACCCTAACAGGTGCTACTACTCCGAGACAGGGTGGATCTGGGAACAACAGCAGATAAGAGGTGGTCTCGCGCGCCTCAAAACCTCCAATCTCCTGATCAAGGGCTTTGCTGCCGAATGTAGTTTATCGTCATATCCAGGACTTTTGAATTTAGTAAAAATAGAATAAAATAAGAAACATTTTCAACATATAATTTTTGTTTGAAAAAAAATAAAAGAATCAACAGTGAATGTCTCGGAAACGCAAAGCAAATATGATTTGGATATTTTATGTAAAATGCATTCGGAATGCTTATTCTTGTATTTTCTTGTGTATAATACGCGAAAATTTGAACGAAAATTAAAGGTGAAAAAGGGTGGGATCGTTTTATAAACAATTAGACGTTTCCAGAAATTTTTACTCAGTTTAAAAAGCCTCTTATTTGAAGCAACAAGATTGCCATTACACTAAGCACAAATGATAAAAAAAACTCAAAGTAAGCAGATGATGATAACAATATTTGTTATTCTCTTCATTTTTATTAAGAAATTTTGATTTTATTTTCATAGTTTATTAATATATAGAAATATAATAAAGTCATATCAAACAGAAAAGTTTGTTAGATTAATTAACACCTTAAAATGTAATGCCGGGATTGTCTAGTATCTGTCTATATTTCTGAGATGAGGTATTATGTACACTATTTACATTATTCGGACTATTGTCCTCATCTTTGTCGCCATGTTTGTCACAACGTTTCGACCGTTGTACGCTCCGGCATTCTTCAGTATCTGTCTATATTTCTGAGATGAGGTATTATGTATATTATTTACATTATTCGGACTATTGTCCTCATCTTTGTCGCCATGTTTGTCACAACGTTTCGACCGTGTACGCTTCTGCATTGTTCAGTATCTGTCTATATTTCTGAGATGAGGTATTATGTACACTATTTACATTATTCGGACTATTGTCCTCATCTTTGTCGCCATGTTTACCAAGGACACATGGTACAGTGGATAGAGACGTTAGTTAGATCCAGTGACTGGACCCAAAGTGTGTGAGTTCAATACCTGGTTAAGGCGGTGGAGAACTTTGAAAGGGAAATTAACAGGTGATAACTGACATCCATTAGACATGGCACGTGGAACTAGAACAGTCTACCCAGTGAGCGAAATAAAGGGCTCAGCTCGACATTCCAACCACCTAAAGAATGCCGGAGCGTACAACGGCCGAAACTTTGTGATAAACATGGCGACAAATATGAGGACAATAGTCCGAATAATGTAAATAGCGGGTTTGTCTTGTTAACACCTTTCCTTGAAAATTCCAAAATAAGTTTTAAAATGGAAATTCGAAGAATGACGCAATGGTTAATCATCTGGTTTATTTCTAGATAGGAAAAAATTAAATATTTTACAGAAATATGTGTAAGTTATTGAGATTTTAATGGATAGTATGGTGCAACTTTTCGCACCAAAATGACATAGTGATCGCTTTGCTACAAGGTATTATTATACTCAACGATGTAATTTATTCCTTGTTTTCAGATTCAGAAACACGGCATCGTATTATACTGTAGCTTTGGAAGACACTGCTAGCGAATTTTATTCTCAATGGGGGATTAATTACTGTATAATTACAACAAGTCCATACCATAGTATGTAAACATATCCGAAGACATCATGTGAACGTATAATGCAATACTATTTACTTACTAAATCCTTTTACTTGTGTATAATATGAAAAAGGTTGGTATATTTATGTTGCGTTCAAAATATAGTTATTACATTTAATAGAATATTTAACAGGTGTCGTTTTTCCCAATAAATTAAGTTTATATCGATATGTTTCAATATGTCTGCTTTCCTTTTCTTTATTTTTTTCTTTACATTCAACGCTGTATTTCTAGATCAAATTTTATTCCCAGCTTTCTCCCTCTCTTCTGAGACAATGGAGTTGTAAAAACATCTCCGAGTTTC